CTCACACACACACACACACACACATATATATATATATATATATATATATATATATATATATATGTGTGTGTGTGTGTGTGTATGTCTGTATATATATATATATATATATGTATATATAGAGAGAGAGAAAAAGAAAAAGAGAGATCCACTTACACCAAAAGTATATGTAATTAGATTTACTTCATTCAATAATTCATGTTTTGCATCAATTTTTAACTGTCAAATCCTTAAATTAGAAGTTCTTAATATTATAGATCAAGTCTACAAATTTTTAAAAAAATTAAAAATTGTTTAATATTTTATTTTATCAATTCAAATTAACAGATAATCATAAAATTAATTTGTAAATTGATTTGATTTAATAAAATAAAATATCAAATAATTTTAATTTTTTTAAAATTTTTAAACTTAATCTATACATTAAGAACTTTTAACTCAATATTTAAATTTAGTATATAATATAAATTATTAAATGAAAAAGTCTAAATAAACTTACTCATATATCTCTCTTACACACACGCCACTTTTAGAATAATATATTATTACAAAAGTTAACAACATTTTATTATATGTGATGATTTCTGTTTGGATAAATACAAACATATTAGTCAAGTCCTAAGATAAAGTGTCTTTTCCTCCTAAATTTATTTTATTAAAAAATAAAATAACATGATCAAACTAAATTTAAAAACATTGTATTGATTAATTAATTAAAAATTAAAAATAAAAAAATCGAAGGTTACTAAATTTGAATTTTTTTTTGAGTTGTTTTGATTATCTTATGATGTGGATTTTTTCGATTTGAGTGGTAATTTTCATTCTTGACTTTTATAATATTTAGTAAATATATCATATTATCATGTGTTGTTTTATACTTTTAAATTCAGGTTAAAATTAAAATATATAAGTTAAGATGAAAATGTTTTTCAAAAAACAAAATTATAAAATAACATGCTTGTGATATAATATAAAACACGTGTGTATGTTTTAAACACACATAAAATTTAAAGTAAATAACGAAAGTGCTAAATTTACCGTTCTACCAATGAAAGCAGACCTATGCTCATTTTGCTTCCACAACAACATTTTTGATATTTGGTTAATGAAAATTGAACAAAAAAAAATTTCTTACTATGAAGGTGAATCAGAAGCAGTACAGGAAAGGAGTAAAGGAGACAAACTTAGCTGAAATCGCATAAAAAAATGAAGGGGAGGGGGTCTATTTATAGAAAAACGCAAGTTTTACTGTTTACCCAAAACGGGCCGTTCCAAAACCAGAACGACCCGTTCCAAATCACAAACCCTTTTGTTAAAACAGCTCCTGGAACGGGCCGTTCCAGGAGTTAAAAAAACTGTGTAATTTCTATTTTGGAACGGGTTGTTCTAAAACAAGAACGGCCCGTTCCACGTTAAAAAAAAATTCCAAAAACTTTGTTTAAAACGGGCCGCTTCCAACATCTATTTCAACGTTAATTCTTAACGTTGGAACGGCCCGTTTTTGGCCCGTTTCACTTTAACAAATGCCACTCTGTTCCTTTAAGCAGAACGACTCGTTCTGATTTCGGAACGGACCGTTCCGCTTCCAACATCTGCCCACGTTTCCCCTGCAAACGCGAAAAAAAAATATATATATATAAAAGCAACTCAGAATTCGGTTCCCCGGGAACCGAATTCTGAGTTGAAAAAACAAAAAAAAAATACACGTTGGTGCTCAGAATTCGGTTCCTCGAAAACCGAATTCTGAGCTTAAACAGTAAATGGTTCTATCCCTGTAAATAAAGTTGCACAGTGGTTAATTGAGTAATTTTTTTAAAAAAATAATATTTGTGTAAAAAATTCGACGATACGATTCGATGAAAAATACATAATTGAGAAGAAAAAAAAAGTAATTAAAATACTGTTAATTATAATTTTTTCGACTGTATTAGCATTTATTAAAATTATTATGATTTTGTTTTTGAAAAGACATCGATGAGTTAAGGATAAAAAATATTTATAAATTATCTTTAATCTTGACCGTAAATAATGTAAGATTTTTTAGGTGTGTCAAAATAATAATATATGTCAAAAATTATATATTATAATACTAATATGTTATAATATAGTTATATTAGCAAATAATCTCTTTATTTTGAATTATAAATAATTGAATAGCTTAAAAATTTTTTTTTAGTTAATTCTTTATATTGTAAAAAGATTTAATTTCTATAAAGTGAATGATGTGCTTTAAAAATTAAACTGCACAAATATCTGTTAATTAAAAAATTAATGATGAAAAATTATGATAAAATATATTTCTTTGATGAATTTTTTTCTATTTAAAACTTTCAAATCCTTATGTATATATAAATATTTGACGGTGTATAATTCATATATAATATAAAGTAATTTAGAAATTTAGTAAAAATCTGATAAAATTTGAATCAATATGGTTTTATAGGAAATAAAAGGATTTGAAGACCTAAAAAAATGAGATTTTTTTTCTGAAGAAATACGATGTTGTAATTGGCGAGTTATGAAGAAAAAAAAGGTTTTAAATGATTTAATTCCATTCATTTTGGAAATAAAGAGAGAGAGAGAGAAGATTCTATGGGTTTTAAATACCAAAAAAAAAATTGACATAAGGACATCATTTGTTTTTATTTAAAAACAAAATTAATTGGTTCGAAGAAGAATTTTCAGAACAAAAATTAAACACGATTAAAATTTTAATAAAATTAAAACTGAAAATAGTTAATAGAAAGGTATAGTAGCAAATATAAATATAAATGTTTGACAAAACAATTTTATAGCTTAATTATAAATATTAATCAACTAACCTATCATCCATCTCAAAATAACTGTAATTTAAATTTTTTACACATATATTAATATATATATATATATATATATATTATAATTTTAATAAAATAAATTTTTCTTTCTCAATAAAAGCATATAATGCATGATATTTTTCTATTATTATTCTTTTTAATTTTCAGAAATGACAACTTTAATTTTCCTCTTCCCTAATTAATACTGTATTTTAAATAAATTATATATATACATATATAGTTATTTAGTCTTTTTAAATATTGCAACAACAATAATAAAAGTTAGTGACCATGAACGGATAATGTAAACATTTTTAATTAATAGCCAAACAATTAGAAGTGACTATTACTTTTTTAGTTTTTAAAGCTATTAATTTTTTAGTTATTTTATAAATTTTAATTATAACATGTAATTTATATATTATAGATTTGAGTTATATAAAAATAATTATAAATAGATGACATGTAAAAGTGGTAGGATATTATTAAGGAAGCGGATGTATAAGGGTGTGGTTGTGGAAGTTGAAAGCAAGCAACAAAGATATTGTTTTGTTTTTATATGCGAAATGATAGTGTTTTTCCAAGTCTAATGTCATCGTCTGTTTCTGTTTTTCTTATGTGTAACACACAACAATTTCCACATTACGAGACAAACTGATACCACAATAAATTAATGCGTTTCTTCTCGTGCATCCTGCACTAATGTCTAAGATTATGTTATATGGCTTCATTTTAGTTCAAAATTGCAGTGCATGGTACGTATGATACTATTTTACTTTTTTTCTCTTCTTACATAGTACTTTATTACATACGGGTGCACTTTAATCTTACATCATTCATTATATTTTAATTAATTAATATTTTTATAACTAAAACTTTATTTTATTGATTGAGATCCATTCAGTTTGCAGAGAGGATCGTCATGCATCCACTTGATTTGGTGCTTATTCATGCTCCCCTAATTATTAAATAGTGGGATAAACCTGCAGGTAGGTAGTGATCTGCTCTAGCTCTTTATTTTCTTCAGATTACATTTTTCATGTTCCAGGCATAATTCTCAGTTTCATAGGCCTTTTTTAAGGTTTAATACACCCATATTTTACTGATTATTTTTTATTTGAGATTCTTATCAAAAATTTAAAAATAGTCCCATATTTTACTGATTATTTTTATTTGAGATTCTTATAAAAATTTAAAAATAGTCCCATATTTTACTGATTATTTTATTTGAGAATTTTATCTAAAATTAAAAAAGTATATTATCGCATCTTGTTTTTTTTTTTTTTATAACTTTTTTACCAATTTTATAATTTATAATTGGGTATATGAAATTAGTTTAAGACTACTCGAACTACTCTTTTTCTCTACGCATGCGTATGTATGTACACTTTGTTAAAACCAAACTTAAACTTTTGATAAAAATTATCATTTATATAAAATATAAAATCTATCATATTAATCACTAGAAACAACAAGCGGAAGCGTACTTGATTTCACGATAATAAGAGCTGTGCGGTTTAGCCTTTCAGATAACACGCACTCTCTTGAGAGAATCATTTAATTATTTTTCTGTCTCTCTTTCCAATAATAGGATGTCAGAAAAGAAAAGAACATAATGTGATCTAGGGACCTAACCTATTTATAAATAGTCATAAGGTCTTTTGATATTTCTATTTTTACCCATCATAAAATAAAATTATCTTTTAGTTACCACACATTAAATGTCTCATAACTTTTAAGATACTCCCAAAATAATTTATACGTCATTAGATTACTTTAATTTGACATAACATTATGTGTCTTTAATATGTAATTATTCACATATAAGATTAACGTTGGATTAAGGATCCAACAAACTTATTTTATTTAATGACTTATATTTTATATTAAAATTTAAAATTATTTATTCGTTAATTTAAAATTTTTTAATGCATAGATTAAATTTATAAATTTTAAAAAAATTTAAAAATTATATAATATTTTATTATATTTCATTTTATTAATTGAAATTAACGATAAATAAGAGATTGTGTATCCGATGAGCCAGAAAATTTAGAATCACTTGCAAAGTTTTCTTTTTAAGTACGTGGTTATTAATTGAGGTGACATTTATTGATCGAGGGAAATTTGGAGACACGCTTAGAATAATACAATAGAATATGTATAGATGAGATATTTTAATACAATAATTCAATTCTTTTTAAGAATTTCATAGAGATTAGGATAAAATGTTTTGGTTGGATAGAAAATTTATAAAAAAAAAATTAAAATTTAAGTATTTATGAAATTTTTAAAAATTGTATTTTCATCCTAATACTAATAACTAAATTAATAGAATTTTGGTCTGTTATTTTGTTTTTTAATTTCAGTTGGCTAGCTGAAGTTAGTTATAATACTTGCTGACCTGAGATATTTTAAAGAATCAAAATAAAATTTTGTAAACTTAAAGGAGTAAATTAAAAAAAAATAAATGACTAAAGTTGTATTTTAGTCCAAGAGTAGGATATTATTAATTAGGTAGGAAAGTAAAGACTTGTGGTTATGGACGTAATAAGAAGCAAAGGGCAAAGATATTAATTTGTTTTGTTCCGCAATCACGTATTTCAATATTCAATAGTCATCGTCTTCTCTTCTTTTTTGCTTATATGATTATGATTGCTAGTCAATAGTCATGGTGGTCTGTTTCTTTTGCTATGACAAATTCAACGTTGACTTGTACTCTATGGGACAAAATGTTAGCGTGTTAAATTAGTTGGTTAATTTGCACCAAAAACACAAAACTTATATATAATATATAGTTAGTTTGTCTTTTCTTCACTCTTTAGATTTTATTTAACTAACTATTTTTAATGAGATATTTTATTTTGATTATAATTTTTTATTTACAATATTTGAATCGATATAAAAAGGTTGTTTTTAGTTTCATTCAAATCAATAATTTATCAATATATAATTTGTTTTATTAATCTTACAATTCTATTTTATTACTTTCTATATTTGCTAATGTGATTATCATATATAATATAAGCTAAATATTATATATACAAAAAAAATAGTTTTGTTTAGCTGAACTAATTAGTTCTCCAAACATTTACTTAAATATATATATATATATATATATATATATATATAAGAAAATTATTGTTAATGGTTTTAATGTAATATTTTTTATGCTTCTTTTAATCTTTTAACAACCTATTTCATATTATAATTATTTAAAATATCAAAATTAATTTTATCTGAGTTTTTAAAAGATTAAATAAGTAATTTTGTTTTTTCTAAGTAAATTAAAATATTTATTTTACTATAACAAATATGTATAAATTTTAAAACAACAATAATAATAATAATAATTTGGACATGCAACATTTACTTGTTTAATAATAACAAGTTTTGAATGATTAATACCAAAAAGTGTAGATTATTAATCACGTAATTTTCAAACTCGTGCCCTACATAGTAGATAAACAATATCCCTAGATACAAAACCTAGTTTATATATACAAAACCTAGTTTAAATCAAGATAAAGTAAAATAATGTATAATTAAAATAAATAAAATAATCTTAAACAAAAATAGAGCTTAAAGGTGATTACAAAATATGTGAATACTTATTATTAATAAAGCAAATAATTAATTTTTTGTATACATATTTTTTCTTCTATTTTAGCCTTAAGAGATATAATGGTAGAAAAAAGATTAATATATAATAATAAAATATAAATGTCTAAAAAATTTGAAAACTAAATAGAGATATACCTTTATATATATTATAGATAAATCATCAATTCTTGAATTTAACATGATTTTCTTTAACAAGTACTTTTTAAAATTTTCTTTAAAGAATTTAATTTTGATATAATATTAACATTGATATTGTATTTCACACTATTAACTAATTAGAAATTATTTTAAATATTATTTTTAAAATTAATGCAAAATTCAATAATTTTGAGTTTTATATGATTGGATAATCGTGTAAATTTTTTATATGATTGAATAATAATTCTTTTTATATATTCAATTACATTCATCAAATAAAATTGCACGTATGAACTTGCTTATATATATATATATATATATTATATAAACAGGAAAGAAAAACAAAAAACAAATTATTCTTTTAATATTTTAATTTTGAATTAATTATATATTTACTTATTTAAATTTGAGTTATTTTTTTATCCTCTAAATTTAAAATATATTATTTTATTTCTTAAAATATCAAAAATTATTATTTTAGTCTCTCAAATTTAGAAAATTTTTTTTTTGATCCCTTAAATTTAATATTTATCTATATAATTTTTATAACTTCAAAAAATATTATTTTATTCCTCAGGATCACTAATACATAACTCACAATGACAAATTGAAACATGTATCTAATGTCTATGTGAGTGAGAGCTACCAAAATTTTGGTTAGTTTTACTTTCCACTTAAAAAGTTTGTAAGTGAAACCTGCCGTAATTTATATGAATTTTAATAAATTTTAATGAATAGTAAAAGAAAAATGTTAGAGATCGTAATTAAAAGCATATTTAATCCCAATTTTATTTTACCTTGATTGATCGATGAACTTAGTATTATTTTATAATATGTAGATGCATGAATAGATCAATAATCAATATTAATGACAAATCTATCAAATCATGAACGTTGACAGGAATTTTTGTAAGCAAATGGATGTTCTTGGCAATGCTGCAAGGAATTAATTGAAGAATGAATAAGAAGACTTAAACATGGAAATGGAGCAACAAGAATTAGAGTTAAAAACTATTTATTGTTACCTCCATGCATGTTGACTCATTTGACTACGTTGCCGAAGCACGGTTCCTTTTCAAGTACTCAAAGTCACAACATGGCACTCTTCTATCTGTCATCCTACACAATGTCCATCACTTTCTTCATTGCTTTTCTCAGTGCTCTACTTATTCAAGCTCAGGATCAATTAGGTTTGAGGACAAACCAAAACATGAACTTCATTATTCGATCTTTTTTTTTATTATTAATTTGGTCTAAGAAATTCACTATATCATTATTTAATAAGAGTTTAATTAACTGGAGCCTAAGTCCCATATGCATTTTTATGTTTTAGGATTCATCAGCATAGACTGCGGAACTCCACAAGATGAGAACTATACTGACCCATTTACAGGCATAAAATATATTTCAGATGCAAATCTTATAAATACTGGTGTGAGTAAGCCAATAGTAGAACTCGGATATATAAATTACCGACAAATGGAGACCGTGAGAAGCTTCCCGGAAGGAAAAAGAAACTGCTTCAAAATAAACATCACAAGAGGCTCCAAATATCTGATCCGGGTGATTTTTTTGTACGGAAATTATGATCACCGAAGCAAGCTACCACAATTTGATGTTTATATCGGGGCTAACCGGTGGTGTACAGTGACTATAGCAAATTCAACCAGTGGCAAAATGAATGAGATCATACATGTACCTTCTCAGGATTACGTACAAATCTGTCTGGTTAACACAGGCAATGGGACACCATTTATATCAGCTATAGAATTGAGGACTTTGAACAATAAAACATACGACACTCAATTTGGATCACTGGAAACTTACGGCCCCCGGTACGATTTAGCTTCAAACACAACCTACAGGTGAAGTCATACTTTTGGATTAAATATTTTGCATTGAAAAAGATTGATTGATTATTCAACTTATTTTTTATTTTCTCACAGGTACAAGTACGATATTTATGATCGCTACTGGTATCCCCACGAATTCGACCAAAGTTGGACACCACTACAAAATGATTCGATTACTGATGGTTCTTTACGCCAGAATGATTACCATCCAGCAGCTATTGTCATGAGCACAGCAGTTACACCAGCAAATGTTAGTGCTCCATTGGTAATAAGATGGGAGCAACTTAGTCCAGATGATAAATTCATTGTTTACTTGCACTTCACGGAGATTCAAGGGTTAGCAGCGAATGAGACAAGGGAATTCAACATCTTCCTGAATGGAAAGCTATTGCGTCAAAATTTTTCTCCACCGCATATGGGTGTCAAAACTATTTATACCGACTCACCCATCAGTGGGGAATCAGAAATTAAAATTTCACTTGAGATGACCGAAAATTCAACCTTGCCTCCTATCATCAGTGCCACTGAATTTTACAGAGTAAACAACTTCCAGCTTTCAGATACATTCCAAGGAGATGGTAATCCACCAAAATATGATTTCTCATTTTTTAAATATCCCCCATTTGTTTGGTTTTCACTATTATACATGTTCTTAACTACCATTTACCCTTTTTATGTTTTGCCTTGAAAAAATAGTTGATGCGATTACAAGCATCAAGTCAGTTTATGAAGTGACAAGAGATTGGCAAGGTGATCCATGCCTCCCGAATGACTACTTGTGGGATGGTCTGAATTGTTCTTATCGCGGAAATGGCTCCCCAAGAATCACAACTTTGTAAGTGATGCTTCTCAAATTAATATTATAGCTTTATAGTTTATATAGCTGGAATGATATCGTTTATAACTAAAAGTTGTGCAAAACAGGAATTTATCTTCAAGTAGATTGTCAGGAAAGATAGACCCTTCAATTTCAAAGCTCACTATGTTGGAGAAGTTGTGAGTTTTATTTTGTTTTCACCTGGTCCAATAAATGATGAAACCAAAGAAAACCTCTTAATGATTATTTGGTATGTGTCTAAGATTTAAAAATACTCAAAAGGGCAAGGTTATTTGTTTTGCAGGGATTTATCAAACAATAGCTTAAACGATGAACTTCCTGATTTTCTGTCTCAATTACAACACTTAAAGATATTGTAAGTTGCTTCATAATTTACTACAACAACGATATATGTGATCCTCTGTATCAAAAAATAGAAAAGGATATATTTTTAGTTTCCGTGTTTAATTTTTGGCAGAAACTTGGAGAACAATAACCTCTCTGGTTCAATTCCCTCTGCACTGGTTGAAAAATCTAAGACAGGTTCCCTTTCACTAAGGTATGAATCTAACTAAAAATTCTCAAATTCAATAATATGGTTATTTACGGTGGTGTTTATTAATTAGTTATAGTCGCACAAGTTTGGTCCATGTCACATGCATCAGGTCATGCGCTTGGCTGGTTCTATAATCCCGTCACATGCATTAATTCATGTCTCACATTTTAAAAGTGAAATTACAATAAATTCAATTACACGGATTCAACCTGAATCCATGCATAGTAGCAGCAAGTATAACCACTGAAACATGCTGAGCATTTGTTATAAAAGTAACAAATCTAATATATAAAATATACAATTATTTATATTACTAAAATATCCATTGATGTGGTTTAATCAATGCCTTATTCAATCAGACATTAATTCGGTATCCTAGCCCAATCAATTACTGGTGGAGTTTTAAAAAACCAACTAATGATAGCAGCTTATGAAAACAACTCCCGACCTTTATTTTATGAAAGAGTAAATTTCACTCACATTTTTACTTTTTTTTTTTTCTTTCAGATCGGAGACGATTTTCACTATTTAGACTTATAATAAGATCTTTTAAAAGTTAAAAATATGTTACATTCACACTTCTTAGATTCTATTTTTTTTTAGTGAGACCTCTTAAAAGTTAAAAATATATTATATGTAATACCCGCTATCACCGTATCATATTGCCCAAATAAATAAGACTAAATAAAAAAATATTTTATAAATAAAATCTAACATGTTCAACATAAAAGGTATCACATTTTTAACAAAATAAAATCAACTAAAATCTTAATTAAATTTATTATAAAAAAAAACCAACAATTATCTTAAAACATGACAAAATAAAGTAATTTTTAACTAAGTCTTGATGTCACATTCTATTAGAACATAACTTTTCTATGAGTTCTAAACCTCGTCATTAACATCCTCAACATCATGTATTAAAAATCACTTGCAACAACAAATAAAAAATAAATAAAAAATAAGAGAAGTGAGAAACATCTTACTTTGACTCATAGTTTTAACAAAACATAATCAATTGAAACTCCAATAAAATCTATTACAAGAAAACTATCTTAAAACATGACAAAATAAGGTAATCCCTGATTAAGTTTTGAACACATTTTATTATAACATAACCCATTGGTAGGCGTGCAGCATTAATGAAACTTAGCTTGCCAAATGTAGAAAACAAATCATTTGGAAAGCATCAAACCAAAGATCAAGAAGCTCTTAGTCAATCCAAACCACTCCACCACATCTATACTCTCACGTTTGTGTAACAAACATAATAATATATAAATGTATAATAAATTATATTTTAATTATAAAATTTATGAGATTTAATCAGCGATTAATCAAACCCTTTTCTCATGTATTTTTTTATATAAATAAAATAAAAATAATTTTGAATAAAAAAGAATTAAAGTTCAAGTAAATTTGATTATTTAATCAACACTTTATTAATCACTAACCACTAATAAATTAATATACTCTATTATTTTATAATTGATTTAAATAGTTTATATAATATATTTTAAATATAAAATGATGAATTTAATAATATATTAACTTATATATTTCAACTAACCTATAATTTAATTATTTTATCAGTATTATATTACTTATCATTTTTCTGGACTTCTTTAAGGTTTAATATGAATTTTATTAATATATAT